GATCTTCTGGAGTCCTACTTTTTCCCCTATAGTTAGAGGACTGGAGTTCCTTCACCTAATTAGAAATAGTGTGTATAGACATATCTGTGTTTTTTATCTTTTGTAATTTACTTATCTCCAAGTTATTTATTTTTTTTTAAATTTAATATACTAGTTGATTATTATTTAGTAGTTATTTTGCTTCTGTTTATTTCATCTTTTCAGTATATATGGTGTGAATGTAGTCTTACCTCTTACTTTAAAAAAAAATATATCATCTGTATTCTTTTTGACATATTCATGTATTTTGATTGTTAGTTACATGTTTTCCAGCTGTCTTTTTTTTTTTTTTACTCATCAGCTGTTTGATTATAACCTCCATCAGCTGTGTTGCCTTTCGATCAGTATGTGATTGGATACTATGGTGATGCCTGATTCTGCGAAACATTGATGGGTTATTTTATCCTACCCGCATTTTAGAGATACAAGGCTGCGTATTTGGAAATTCTTCTAGTTATAACTTAAAATATTTACAAAAATAGTCTACAGCCATTGGTGCAATAACACGAAGTGCTGAATGTCGACTTGAACAAAGAGAATTGATAAAGAGGATGCAGAGGAATTACATAGATAACGCGTGTAGTCGGGGCAAGCAGGGCGTATTATACTACTCCAACCTCTTCAGTTCTGAATTTTAAGCAGGCGTCATGAGAGACAGTTGCCAAATGATATAAGCCCAGCGGTACCCCAGGTCTGCATTTAATGTCTCTTTATCTCCCAAATCATTGTAAATTGTTTTCTCCTCATATATTATGCCAAAAAATGTATTTCGAAAAAAAAATTTAAAGAAAGAAAGTTACAATCCGGGACTTCATAATTGGTACTCGTACAATGAAGGATTAAGACCATAAGAGACACTACACTAAGCATCAGTGGCGTATAGCCTTAGGACCCGAGATGCATATTTTTTGAAGGTCCCATGAATAAAAATTGTTTCGTTTGGAGGTCTGTCTCTGCTAACAAAATTTCAGCTACAATTTTAATATAAAATAACCACAAATGTAATTATATATATAATTAAATAATTTATTCCTATATTTCTTTCAGGTAAAAAAGTTAAATAGATGGTGGCCCGCAGTTGTTTGATGCTTTATACTTTATATATTCAGAATCTTCTGATAACCACAACATCGAAACCATATTGAATATAGATAAGTTAAATAAAGTTTACTATTATATGATGGGAATACACAAAGTGCATACACAAAATTGTTGATCATAGCTCATGTTCTATTAAGTGTTTGTTTTTAGTTTATCTTATATATATTTATTGTTTCTATCATAGTAACAGGTTCATATAACTATTATTATGCAGTGATCGTTTTTTGCTTTTAATTTTTATTGTTATTTATGTTTTGTAAAACCCATTCTAAACGTAAAATATTGTAAATTTTATTTATTTTTAAATGATATGTATATAACTTTTAAAACTATATTATTCTACAATAGCAAAGCTATGCTTTATTTGTATGGCGAATCCTTCCCCAAAAAAACAAATACATTTCTATCCATCTATCTATCAACTGTATATATTCAACGTTGAGATCTCAAATTACTAGCCAATGACTTAAAGCCTAACGATATGTGTTCAAAGATTTATTTTTGTCTAATACTTTATAATTGTAGAAAGCTCAGGATAATATAAAATTATCAACAAGCCTATTTAAATCTAAATCAGGCCAATATTAACAGTATAATAAATAATATTGGTCAAAAACATTGTGCTGAATCAAAATGGAGTACAGTCTTTTGAAATATAAGTTTGGTTTTCATGATTTTTTTTCGTTTTCTAGGAAATTTTAAAATCTTTCAAATTATTACAGATATGATCTACCTTAAAGTGTATACTTTTTGTGTTATACAAAAATAAAATTTTCTTTTCTTCAAAACAATTCTTTTTTAGATTTTCTTGTGGATATGCTTATCTTTCGCAATGGGAATTGACGAAGGTATTAAGAAATGGAGTGGTGGCGAAACGATGCCTTTGAGGAAAAATATATAAAGATTACACATCTCATGATGGTTAGTTAACCTAACTTTATACATATATACTCTTCTGACATGTGAACATTACAGACAGATACATATTAAAAGATTAATAGAAAATAGAAATAGAAAATAGAAAAATAACTTTATTCTGGGACACAGTCCCTTGAGAATAACAAATTAGAACAAAATTAAAATATTACATCTGGCCAAAACAAAATAAATCGAAAAAAAGAAATAATGTAAAAAAAATATAAGGTAAAAACTCTATATACAAAACAAACTAAACTATATACAAAACCATTAATACTATTACAAGAAACTTAAAGCTATTTAGACCAGTATACACGTTTCCGAAAAAAATAAAGAATTAAAAAATAAAAATATATCAAATTCTCTATTAAAATCCGCTCGAATGGTTAGCAAGTATCTGACTGTTTTTGTGATAGGAATTGGAATAGGAGGGATTTGAATGTGGATATGGAGGGGGAATGTCGAATTTTGATAGGGAGGGAATTCCAGAAATTGACAGAGCGAACAATAAAGGAATTTTGGAATGAGGCAGATCTGTGAGAAGGCATGTAAAGGTCAGAAGGTCGAGATCTTGTGGACAGGGAATGGACTGAGGTTTTGAACTGGAGAAGGTTGTAGGCGTAAGAAGGACGATGGTTGTTGATGATTTGGTAGAGGAACGTACCTAGAAAGTATTGTCTTCGGAAGGAGGGGTAGAGCCACCTTAACTCAGTGTAGTGGTGAGAGACATGGGAGTACCTCGGGGCACCAATAACAAATCTTACGCAGCTATTCATTAATCTTTTCAGTCTATCACGGAGCTCCACCGAGAGGCCATCATACACCACACAGCTGTAGTCAAAGTGGGGGAAGATGAGAGAGGAAATTAGGAGTCTACGGATATGTTGAGGTAGGAGATGGCGGAAGCGATGAAATAGTTTAAGGGTAGAGATTGTCCGACGGGAAATGTGAGAAATATGGTTGGTCCAGGAGAGGGTTTGATCTATGAAAAATCCTAAATTTTTAACAGAGGAGTAGAAGGAAATTGGCTGGTCATTAAGGTGTAATATGGGAAAGTCAGTATGGGATCTAATGAGGGGCTTGGAACCAATGACGATGGCCTGAGTTTTGGCAGCATTTAACTTTAATCCATTTACATTTGCCCAGGCATTGATTCGATCAAGATCTTCTTGAATCTTGGCAAATGCCCCCAGTAACTCAGAGGGAGAAAAGGATAGGTAGATCTGGGAATCATCTGCATAAAGGTGATGGGAACAATGGAAAATTGATTTAGGTAGGTCGTTAATGTAGGAGCTGAAAAGGAGAGGAGATATGCTTGAACCCTGGGCAACTCCAGAGGATAAAGAAAGGAAAGCAGATAGTGGTTGGTTGGGTATGGAGACTGCTTGGGTGCGTTGGGAGAGGAAAGATTGGAACCAAGAGATGGAACTATTGGAGAAAGATAATGATTTTAGTTTGTTGAAGAGGATGGAATGGTTGATGGAATCGAAAGCTTTGGAGAAGTCTAGAAGAATAAGGACAGTTAATTTTCTATCATCTATTGCAGATTGAATGTCGTTGGTAATTTTAATTAAGGCAGATTGTGTGGAATAGCCGGGACGGAAACCAGATTGGAGAGGATCAAATTGGTTGGAATTTTCGAGGAACTTGGAGACTTGGGATTGCACCAGTCTTTCAAGAGGCTTTGAGAGGTTAGAAAGAATTGAAATTGGACGGAAATCTTCGGGTGAGGATGGATTAGGCTTTTTATTTAAAGGAAGGACAATGGCTTTTTTCCAAGAGGTAGGGAATACTGAATTCTGAATGGAGAAATTGTAGATAAAAAGGAGAGCTGGGAGGATTTCAGGTAGACATATTTTTATTAATTTGACAGGAATGCCGTCTGGCCCTATGGAATTGGTGTGGGATTTCATTAACGCGGTTAACAAGTCTGTGGGAGAAATGTCGGAAAAATAAAAGTTATTGTCGTTAAAGGATATCTCTGGAGCAAAGCCAGAAGAGGAAGGTAGAGAAGAGGTATTGGCGTAATGGTAATAACAATATCAAACTATAATAAAAAAATAGTAACAAGTAGGGATTATATAGCGCAAGTTGCGCATTTTTTAAGGGAATATATTTTGACGTGTTTTTGAATTTTTGAGGGAGGCGAATTCCAACGAGGTTATACATTTTTGGAATGAAAAGTTTCAGATTAAAGAGCAAGGATATAACGTGGAACAAACAGCAGAAAGTGTAATTTCATATGATCTACGATGTTTTTAATTCTACTTTCCCTTGCTCTGTTTGTGAGGTGAGCAATAAAATATTTTGGCTTATGCGTCATCGACCTTGGAGGGGGGATGGGTACCCTTGGTGATATGTGTGTAAGGAAATTAAAGATGCATTTTTCATTATTTAACGGTGTAATGGCTGTCAAATACCTAATTATGCACTTAAGATAGTGGCTCTAATTCAATTAATATGTTTTTGGTTATTATAATTCATTTGAATTGGGTTATACAACAATGCATAATACTGGGCAGATTGTACTATCTCTAATTGTGTACACTAACATTAACGTGATATGAAATCAATATGAACATTACATCACATCAGCTGTTGCAAGATCGTAAAAAAGTACAAAGCGAGAAATAGAGAATATTAAGATGAAAAAAAAATCAGATAACTTTTCTATAGAAATCTTCAGGCATCCAGAGAAGTATAAAACCTTTTGTTTGTATTCGGACTTGTTCTGTTCCTCTTTCTCCCTTCTGTTTACTTTTTGTAATTTTTTTAAAACGCTTTCTGACTCTCTCTCGGCCGATATAAAGTAAATAGAAAAGTAATTATGAAAAAAGTGAGAGGTATAAACCAAAAGGCATAAAATATAAGGCGGGGATTGATCCTCAAACCGCCGCTCCTGTAGCTACTTATTCATAATGCAGGCTGAGCCAAACAAGCAGATGAATAGGAGTACCCTAAGCACTGCTTTGAAATTCAAAAGAAGAGTAGCCACTGGTAAATACCATCAGGGTGCTCGCCTCTCCGGAGGAAAAACATTTCTCGCTCACTTTCCAATTTAGAGTACATCGGAAATAAGAAACACTAAGAGGAAACATTGAAAAGTAAGATAAGCCAACCAACTCCCGACCCAAATCTAATACAGCCAAAGAGGATTCCCAACCACTTAAGGACCCAATACAATCCCCGATTTACAATGTCTAAAATTTTATCTCACTATTGCACTTTATATTCACCAAACCTATATTTCGGGATATCCAATTGCTGAATAAGATTTTAGAAACTGAAAAAAAATAATAGTGACAGAAAACTTAATAAAATAAATTTAAAAAATCCCAACTAAGGAAATTTCACTATCTTATAACTAAATCCATACCTAATTTACAGAGTCATATCCATTAGTGTTGCCCAAATGCGAGATCGAGACGAGTCTTGGTCTTGCACAACAGTCTGGCAACAGTCTTGCAGTTACTTATTACTATAGAGATATTACTGTCATTTTTTAGATAGGAGAAACCTATTTAAGACCAATGAAAAATTAGTGGAGTTAAATGCAAAAGTATATTGGTTATACCAATTCTTTAAATATAGTCACTAAGATAATAAATAAGAGTTTAGGTTCATGTAGGATTTCAAACTTGGTACCATTTCAAAAGCACATTAATCAACAACCGATTAACGGCAAGATGAAGTCTCTATTAGCTGGGAAACGCATATCTCTTATCATTTCACATCAGTCGCTGGAACCTTACAGGTTTTGCTTAGAAGGCGAGGCAAACTATTACCTACTTTATCACGTTCTTTGATTTTTATGAGCTTTAATTCTTTTGACACATTTTTTTACCACCTCCTTATGATGTGATATCATTTTCAAATGTGAATTTTGATTAAAACAACAAGTATTAGGGGTCTCAATAATTGATTCTTCAAAATGATAAGATTCCTAAATTATTGACACAAAGTGTATTGTATAAACAAAAGGATACTGAAGGACATGAATAGAAGAACAATGAAGAAGGCCACGAACAGAAAAACACTTAAGAAGTCGAAAGTTTGGCAGAAATGGGCACAGATCGGAGAATAAGTAAGGATGTCTTCTTCAAACTATAATAGTTACCAAATTTTTAAAGCCTCTAATGTTTAGGAATAAGAAAAAACGAAGAGTTCTATTTTCTTATTCTCTGAATATTGCTTGAAATGTACCAAAGTATACATACCTGCTATAGTATACAATTTATTTTCTCATACCAGTTTGTGATATCTGTGATATGGGTAATAAGTTTTAAAGTTTTCAGTTACTAATGTGTGATAATTTTGTACCTATAAATATAAAATATTTTATCCAAAATAATCACGTTTTATGGTTGAACATGGCGTCAATAATTCCCGGTCGATAATTGGTTTAAGACATTTTTTTTTTTTTTTTAAGAACTTATTATCTTTATTGGGCTCACAAACTTGAAAACTTGATAGTATTTTGGCCATTATACAAGCAGAATCTGAAGAACAGACTTAGACTAGTATGAAAAATTTTGAAACATACAGATATCCTAATTAATACAAAAGTTTAATGTAAATTACTTCAAACGTTTCGTTAAAGTGTCAATAATTGATGACTTGACCTTAAATCTATGAATATCATAACATAGTATAGTAGCAATAGGGTCCCTTCCATCCTCGATCGAAACTTAGTACCTCAGAAAATATATGTTGATGATTTAATGATGGATAGTTAACCAAACTCTAAAATATTATTGTGGAACGAAATGAACAAATGAACATGAGAATTACAGCACATCAGCTGTTATAAGACGGTATGAAATAATAAAGAGAGAAAATGGATATATGAACTTATAGAGTTCTAACAACTTCTTCATCACAAAGGATGGATCTTCTTCGTCATTAGCTATAATGATCTATTTATCAGGAAATTGTAAATGATACAGGTATTTATCATATGTGATTATCCCCGTACCGCTTTTTCCCGTAGGCTAAGGATACTTTCAACATATGTTATTTATTAAACATTAAATTAAATTTTCAAATTTGGGCAGCCAAAAGAATTTCTTATCACCAAAGGCCTCAAACAATGCAGCTCACTCTCCCCTTTACTGTTTTATCTTAATAGTTTTAAATTGTAACTAAAAACAATAAAATGCACTTTCCCTTTTGTCATTTAGCGCCTCCTAGATCTGCGATTACACGGCTGGAGGAGGAGGGAGACCCAGACGACTACGACGGGTACGTGACGACTGACAAAGGACCGTCCTCGGTCAGCAGACGTGACAATCGCAGCCACATGAGGCGGCCATTACTCCAGCAATTAAATGACCAATGAGAGTAGAGCGGCAGGCTCAAGGACAGACAGCGCTGGAACCGGAGGAACTCAGGGACCCTAACAGCCGGGTCATCAGGAGCGGCCATTTGAATAAAGAGATCTAGGGGCTTAAGTTCTTAATGACGTCAGGGCACCCTTCTCATTCCAGTCGAAATGTCTTCCAGCTCCAGGGCCATGGAGAAGACAAACGACACTCATTGTTTTGGCAAAGTTCCTCTCCGGCCTCCTGCATGGCAAGGCATTTCCTTCTGTAATGTTATTCGGATGGTGTTTGTTGAGTTGGTACTTATGAATGATAATATAAACATAATAAAGTAAAATCAAACTAAACATTTAGAAACAAAGGCTGGGCTCAGGCCATTATATTTTGCAGTATCATAAAATTTACTGATTGTCACTATTATTTTTTGACAGGTGTGAAATAGAAAATTGAGAATTAAAAACCAAACAAAAAAAAAAATAAATAAAAGGTTCTAATTTATCAAACAATTTTAAGGTCATTAATGGTGTAATGAAACGGAAAAAAAATACGAACCAAACAAAATCTTGAGAATTGAAGTGAATATTCCTGGTAAGGTATAGTCAACTTCATCGTGAACTTCAAATTAGAACAATAGACGAATTCACTAATAAACGTTTTACAAAATATCATTCCCAGTAAAAGCAGTTAAAGGAGCTGTAGCATCCTCCATTGAACTCTATTACATCTATATACTTTCTATTTACATCATATACATATTTCATTTATTTATTTTACTATTTTTCAAAATTTATTTATTTTTCATTTTATGATCTGCTTTTATATTGTTATTTTCTTATTATTATTCGTTTATTTAACAAGCTAGCAGTCCATAGTTATTAACAGAATACATCTTTTATATTAGGAGTGTTTTTTTATATGATACTACAATCCCACTTTGCCAACTTTTAAAAATTCGCTTAATGTTAAAACACCCATATATAGCTCACTAAAATCTGGAAATAAAGAATAATACTTCATGGCTGCAAAAAAAGTTCAGTTATAATTGTATTAAAGCTACGAGAGGTGTGATGTAAACGCTGTACAAGACACGCAAAGATTTCTGGCGAACGTTAAATTATTACAGAAACGCTGTGATCGCCTCACTTTGTTGGTAGAGTTTCGATTTAAGGTAAATTAAACCTCTGAACACGAAGGCGGGCGACGAACTGTCTTTATATTCAGCTATCGTACACAATCGATTTCCATACACTCTTGCGATAATGTGGAAGCAATTGCATTGTTCGCTACCATTTGCTCAGTCAGGCTCTGAACCACTTTAATCGATTACATTGGCTTTTATGGGTATCGTTGGATTTCTTTTAAGCTCCTCTATCCAATTCATACGATTTTTATATTTAAACCTGACTTTTGGAAGATATGATTTGACAATGTACTACCCACTTCAAACTTACTACTATTACTTCGAATTAATAGATTTAAAAAACAAAATACGATACTAACTCTAATAACTCGATATAGCAACCCCTCTCCCTCACTCCACCAGAAAATTAATTCCAGTGGGTGCCGAAAACTGGGAGTTTTATTCTATTCCAAAAAGTCCAAGAAATGGAGAGTAATCCTCCATTTACCTTTTCAATAGATTTTAAGTTCGCTGGAGACTACCTTAATAAGTACATAAAATAAAATCTACACATGTGATAAGTAACCCATGGCAACTACAGCACCACCCAAGAGATTTTCGACAAGAATTACGGTTTATCTCAAAAAGGTCAGGATATCCTCCTCAAAAACGTTAAATGTAATTTATTCCATCTCGATATATCGATTCTTTAAACCACTTGAGGATTGAAATCTCTCAATTTTAAGTGGTTAGAGTATGCTTTTAAATTCTGAAATTCGCATTCGCAGAAATTGAAATACAATGGAAAACGGAAATCCTTTTCGTTTGATACCCCATTCATTAATATACATAGCTCACGAGAACTGGGTAAGTGGTCTTATTATTCTATATAATATAGATAAGCGTGCTCATAAAACCAAAATAATTAAATAATATATTGAAAATTAATTTTATTACATTTTGATCTCGGACAGATTAAGAAATATTGACATTGAAGTCGGTGATGACCAAAATCATACCTGTTAAAAACACTTGTTATTTTATGCCTCCGGTAAAATTACTCAATTAATTAATTATTTGGGACCGGTCTCAGTATCATTGTTAAATAATAAGCCTTACAACATACTAAAAGGTTTATTCGTGTGTCTCGTTATTCCAGACTGATTTGCTCACACTGTTAAATTTTTAAGTTGGAATTAGATCAGTGTTAGTAACACTTGTTATGGTTAAAATATTCATAGCCATTCATCTTGCTAGGTCAACAGAGTGTATGGCATATCAATAAATTTTATTGTTTTCTTCTTCTTAAAAACAATGACAACTAATGTTAAATTTAAAAAGAAAAATGTCCTTCATTTATAATTACTCTTCCTGTTATCTGTTTCATGCGTTTTTACTTGTACTCGTTTGAAAGCTGATCCAAATCGAAAATCAACAAAAATGAGAAATATTGCTTAATTAATTGAAAAATTCTATCATGAAATTCATAACCCCGTCAAAATATATTTATTTATTAATTCATTAAAATAAATATATTTATTTATTTATTCAATGGAGTAGGAATAGAAAATATTAATAGTATCAGATGAACAACTCTCATGCAACCTGTTGCAAGAACTGGGCGTCCTTGCAGAAGAATAACAATTTATATTATATTTTTATCAATGATGCGTTTCAAAGAAATAATGAAATCAATACTAATAAATAAAAGAAAATTATTATATACAACATTATATGACATCTGAAAACGCACGTCAAGCTATGACACTAAGCTATAGCCTGCATTCGTGAATAACTTGTTTAATAACTTAAATAAAAATACTTTTGTTCTTATGAATTAAGGATTTCACAATTGAATCTTATAATATATTTTTTAATTTTTTTGAATTATAAATATTTGCTTACGTTTTTCTGAAATTGTATACCCTCATGACCTCCCATCAAGTGAAGTAAGGGCAGGGCATCGATCCAGGATAAACCGACTTCTAATCTCGACTGATTTCGAGGAATATAAATTAAAATGGAATTAAGTATATTATTAACTAAACTATATGAATATAAATGTATATATAAAATAACTATATAAATAAATTAAAAATTAAACTTTAAAATTCATCCCTAAAATAAGAATAAATTTCTGTCTGAATCAAATATAATATAACAAAAAAAAAAAAAAAAAAAAATAGAGGTAAATGAAAAGATTTTTAATAATAAAATGTTTATTTAATTTATATAATCATTATAACATGTATGTTCGGTTAAGTTAAAAGGAGACCTATTAAAGTCAGATTAGATCCTATTAGTGGAAAAAGTTATCATGATTTTACCTATTATGTGACTCATTGATATTATAATTTCATGTATTTTATCAATAACGATTATTTAATTTTACATATGTAATAAAATAGACAAAGATGTATGCTTCTTTTTGAAATTTGAGACTTTTATTCAGAAATCTTCTCTTTACTGGACGTAAGACCTTTAAAAATCAAATTAGTTCCTATTAGTAGATGAATAATGATATTTATATTTATAAATGTTATCAAATATTAAAAAATAGACTTCTTTATTTTTTTTTTTTAATGACGTTCAATGACAAAATTATTTGAAATTTGAGCCTGTGACTTTGAAATCTTTTGTTCACTAGACATGTAAATAAGAAAGAAATTATCACATGTTACTATATTTACAAGCTATAAAAATAAAAAATGGATTGGCAAATATTTATTGGAAAAAATACATCAATTTTTTAATTATAAAATATTGTTCTGTAACAATTACGCATATGAGAGAATAGCGCAGAGATACAGGTATAGCTGTGAATGTTTTTTTTTTTTTTTTTACTTATCTTTGATTTAATTTATTTTTATTAATTGTATATACATTTTGATAAGTATCTTATTTTTATTTTGCTTCTGATTATTTTAAATTTCCTGTATAGACAGTGTGAATGTAGTATTACCTCACTATAATTATTTTCATTTAACAGAATGTTATATTTCTCAATAAATAAAAATTATTTCGAATAAAAAAAAATAAAAAATTTGCAACATTAAATAATTTAATAATAAGCTGTTGAAATCATCTAATGATTCCGGTTTTCGATGATTTCACCGGTAAAAAAATGGATGCATCATCGCAATAGCAAGAAGCAGGAGAAAGTACCTTTAAGTTCATTCAGGCCGGACGATAGGAACCTGGATTCCGAAGCAATGACTAAACCATTCTCCAACGGTAACTGTATTCAAATAATAACTAACGCAGTTAACACAATTAACCGCTACCAATTAACTTACTAACAATAGCCGTGATAGAAATCAATCATATTTAATAGCCTCCATAAACCATTTTAACGGTTAATAATTTACCTCTGTAAATAACTTGAAGAGAATTAACTGTTACAAGTCCCTACCTTGGAATTTAAATGATAGTTTCTCAATAAAAACTGTCACCATAAGGATAAATATGCGTATCCATTTAAATTGAAGTTTCGCTAACAACAACGCAAATCTTTCATCGCAAATTCAACTATTGCCCTTCAAATCCATCACCAAGAAGTGGTTCCACAAATGTAAAATTGAAACTAAAGGACAGAAAATCAAGCCACGTTAATTTTTTCCTGAAGAACGTTTCATGTTCTGCTGTAGCATAAAGAACAGTTCCAGTAAAAAATAAGAACTGACCAGACGATACAAATTAACATATCTCTTGTACTACAGATCCTCACTCAATTTACAAAACAAGGGGCTAACTATACCACTGCACTATCACCAATTTTAATGTACGGATCTAAACTTTCGAGATCAGCAAAACAAGCATATATAAAAAGTATTTTAATTTCTTCATTGTACAAAAAAATTTTTAAATTGTCATGTCATATTTAAAATTACACGAAGTACCTAAAGACTTGAACATTTCAGTAGTAAAATCATACAACAACGAAAAAGTAATGCATTTTTTGACATGAGTCTTTGATTTGATTGTACAATAAAAATCACTCCAATTCACTCGTTTTTCAAGTACACCTGTTTCTCCGATAACAAAATCAGAGCTATTATCAAGTAAAATCAAAGAGTTGTATCAATTTCTCTATATAAACTTTTTGAAGTGAAAACTTCATTAGGAGTGAATTAGATTGATCCGTCAGATTTTAACGTTCGGATAAATTCGGCTATAGTTGACTAATTGAAATGTTTTTATATACGGATTAAAATATAATAAATTGGGCCTGCATGCTGTAAACGTATTGTTAGCCATTTTATCCTCTCTGTAAGGGGCTATACTTCATAATTTTATCTTAACGCGACGCCGTGTTAGTGAGGAAAAAAGAAAAAAATAAAGTCGAAAACCAAATGGTAACGAGTTTAGTTGAACATGTGGATTCAAATATTTCAGATACTAAAAATCGGACCTGTATACTGTAAGCGAGAGAATTGTTCAGTATTTCATCTTCTTTATAATGAGGTATTATTTATAATTTATATTTAATATTATTAATTTCACCTGGTTGATGTTTTCAATTCTATCATGTGTTCTAAAGCACACACTTTTTTTTTTTTTTTTCAGTATGACAGAAAATAATAAAAATAAATAAATAAATCAATATTTGTTCCTTTTGTATTACTTCTTTATCACTTCTATTCACATAATAATTTATTGTGAAACTGTAAAGATAATTTTTTGGTGAATCATCACTTCACTTTCACTGAAAATTTGATATGACTTACTTAAAAATATGAGAGATTGAATAGTTTTCGATAGCTCACCTTGAATTCAAAAGTTATTTTTTGTTTACCTATTTCTTTTTTAGTAAAACAAATAAATAAATCCTAACTCTGGAAATTTGTCATTTTCTCAAGCTGCTGGACGCTACAGTTAAGGAATAATGAGGGGCGGGTCCACTTCAGATCACATTTAATAAATATTTTATTGAAAAAGTAGACTATAAAGAAATATTCTTTTTTATTATATGACTAAGTTGTTGTTTTTATTTTTAAAATTATTAATTATTGGGAGATGGGATCAAAAATATATCAGCCCTCGGCTCCATATGTAAGCCACTTAGAAGAACTAAACATTGCATCAACTGAACGTTAAAGCGAAAATTGCTTAAGTAAAATTCAGCTTGAACTAAAGCCGTGAAAAAAGCGACAATGGACAGCGTCGGACAGTTTTGAAATCTATGGGGGACTGGTCATCGACGTTTTTTCTCCTATTATCGGACGGGTTGGAATGTTTAAGTGTCTACTATGCAACCACATTTATAGTCGCTGTATTTCTTTAGCATATTTTATCTGATTCTAGAGAACACTTCAGTACAATTTAAACATTTAAAGAAAATATACTTTAAAAAACAAACGAAACTAAGCTACTAAATTAGTTATCTTTAAGTTCTTTAAATTAGTTCCTTACTGAGACCTCAGCTACCTATGATTAATCTCAAGTGAAATATTTTTGATGAGAAACTATAGTAATTGTTTATACTGCAATTTATGTTCTTTGAAATTAAATCCATATTATTTATTTACCATTATTCTGACCAGGAACTAGAGATCTATAAATGCAGAAACTATTTGTAAAGAAAGTTATGTTTTAGCTATATTTTTTATATTATATCAATAATACGTTAACAGAACGTTTAAATTGAACCAATCTCGCTTCAATCCATTAAAAAAAAAAATTAAATTCGCCAAAAATTGACAACATTTCTTTTCATAACATTCAAGCAAAGTTTACCAGAAAACGTTTAATGAAGTTTGATTTAAAATACTTAATGTGCAATATTATATACTTATATTATAGAAATTAACTCATAAAAAATAAAAGTTATTACACACCTAAAATACAATACAGAATTTCAATATTTAAAATTCAAATTTAACAGTTGTTTTAAATATTTGACAAAAAAATATTAAAATAATGAATTATAATTTCAAAACCGAAATAATAAAAAAATAATAATTTTAATGGGGGGAAAACTGAACAAATAAAAAATACAACTGTAGGTAATAAAAATGGGAAGTTGGTGTTACGTTGCAGTTGCAACCCTCTATTTTATTTTATTTATTTATTTATTTTTTTTTTTGTGTACATATAATGTGAATGTAATTCTACTTCACTATAACTAATGTACAAGTGACAGATTATTGTAATACTCAATAAATAAATAAATATAAAAAAAATGAAATATTTTATTCTTCTTCCTCAAAATCATTAAATAAATTAATGAAAGAGTTTTCGGAAAAAAAAAAAAAACGATTACTGGAACCTAGATGAAACTTTTGAGCAAAACATTTATTTTCAATTATAAATCATAAAATACAATACATAATTTCAACCGTATTTAAAATTCAAATTTAGCAGTTGTTTTAAATATTTCACAAAAAAATATTTAAATAATGAATTATAATAAAAAACCGAAATAATAAAAAAAATAGTCATTTTAGTGGTGGGAAAACTGGACAAATAAAAAATATAACTGGTAATAAAAATGGGAAGTTGGTCTTATGTTGCAACCCCCTACCAATTTTATTTTATTTTTTTATTTTGCTTCTATTTATTTTACATTTTTTCGTACATATTGTGTGAATGTAATTCTACTTTACTGTAACTAATGCACAAGTGACAGATTATTGCAATACTCAATAAATAAATAAATATAAAAAAGTAATGAAATATTTCTTCTTCCTCAAAATCATTAAATAATTTTATGAAAGAATTTTCGAAAAAAAAAACAAAAAAAAAATGAATATTAAAACCTAGGAGAAAATTTTGAGCAAAAAATTTATTTTCAATTATAAATTATAAAATACAAAACACAATTTCAACTGAAGTATTTAAAATTCAAATTCAGCAGTACTTTTAAATATTTCACTAAAAACATATTAAAATAATTAACTATTATAGAAAAAAAAATAGTCTTTTTAATGGTGGAGAAACTGAACAAATAAAAAATATAACTGTAGGTAATAAGAATGGGAGGTTGGTGTTATGTTGCAACCCCATACAATTTTATTTTTATTTTATTATTTTACTTTTTTTTTTGTACATATAGTGTGAGTGTAATTCTACTTCACTATAACTAATATACAAGTGATAAATAAATAAATATAAAAAAATAAAATAAAATATTTTATCCTTCTTCGTCAAAATCATTAAATAATTTATGAAAGAATTTTTGAAAAAAAAATTAACTAATACTGGAACCTAGGCTATTTTCAATTGCTATGAAAATTCCTTAAATACGATTTTTTTTTTCACAGAAAAAAAAATTAACAAACGTAGAAAAGAATATTATAGAAAAAAGTTGTTTTCACGACACTTCATATTTTTTTTTTTTTCTTGGCTGGTAGAGCGCATTGCCCAGAATCTTTGAACATGAGATTAATGTGTATTTCAACCTAGTATCACAAAAAAAGTTTCTTTCAAATTGGTGACCCCACATCCGTAATCTACCTAAAGTAATTTAGATCCGGTATTAAATATAATTATCAATTTTCCAAACTTTTATTTCTTGATAAGCTATATTTTCTATTTATCAAAGAAATAGCCTTCCAATCTTCTTTAGCTCTTAATAACGGGAGTACACAAGGACTTAATTTAAACGTTATAAAAAAGATGAGCGCGGCCAATACGGATCGAGGAGGAGGAAAAATTAGCCGGAGGAAATAGTGACAGATTTAATTACATTAGCCAGGCAATGGAGAGGTGTCAAATCACAGTTGGATGATTAATGTTTGTACAGCTTTCTGCTAAAGTAAGCAATCCGCTAATTAGCAGGCTGCATGAGTGGAAATCTCCAACTGCTAAAATAATGAATAATTAATTCAGGTAGTACATCTCATATCAATTATATTCCATTACAACACGTTCACATCCTACACATAATTTTTCATTTTTACTCAAGTTTATTAACATTTCAGAACGACCATGAACATGAATGATATAAACCATAAGTGAGTAATCTTTATATTATTAGAGGCCGCAGTAAGATCAGGCATGAGTAAACAAAATGGAGGCCGCAACAATTATTTATATTTTACTGTTTCTATTATCTATTTGTCACTAAATACACACATCCATATACATATTTACATGAGACGTTCTTGTATTTCCCACGACGGTGGCTCCATAAGAAGTAAAATATTTCCTAGGCCCATTCCTATCCCAAATAATCTATAACCATCGCCCGTCCTACAATTTTGGGAGGGGCGAGCTTCAGTTTTTTTAAAATGTATATATTACGATAATTACTTCGGAAGAAAGAAAGAAACTTAAACACGATTTCATATAGGTAAATGAAATGGTGTGTAACTGATTCTGAATGTAATTAGATAGTAATAATAATAAAAAGTCTTAGCGAACCCGAAGGTTCGATGCCGACACCATCAATCTCTTATTACACACCTCCCTCCACCGTTCGCCGTCCAAACCCATTCCCTTCAGATCGGCTTTAATGCAATCTTCCCACCTTCGCTTCGGTCTACCCCTCGGCCGCTTACCATTCGGCACAGCAAAAATTAACCTTTTAGGAATTCTCTCTTTACTAAGTCCAACAACTTTACAAGCCCATTTGAGTCGCCGCGATGAAATTATTTCAACTATATTACTCGGATATAGTTCACGCAATTCGGCGTTGTGTAACCGTCTGAACTCTCCGGTTAACTTATCCTTCTTCGGTCCGAATATTCTAAGCAATACTTTATTTTCAAAAACCTTAAGACGCTGCTCATCCCTTAATGTAAGCGGCCAAGTTTCGCACCCATAAAGAACTGTAGGCAAGATAATTGTTTTATAGATTCTAATTTTTAAGTTTCGGGACAAGAGGTGCGAACTAAGTAGTTTTGTCACAGAAAAATAACAAGCATCTCCCGCCTTCAGTCTAAACTTAATTTCTTCTTCAATTTCGTTTTTTCTAGTTATCGTAGAACCTAGATACCTAAACTTATCTACCTGTTCAATCATATTACTCTCTATATCGATATCGCCAGTAGTATCGCCATTTTTGCAGCTAACCATATATTTTGTTTTATCCACGTTTATTTCGAGTCCTAGTTCTTTACCGGCTTTCATTAACGTTGTCGTATTTAGCTTTATAGTTTCAGGGTCTTCGCTTAACAGTACCAGATCATCCGCATAGCCCAGCACGGATGTTGTCCCACCCAGATCCAACCCTTTCTCGGTACACATTACCTCCCTAATGGCATGTTCTAATGCCAAATTATTAAATGTAATTAGATGAACAATAATACTTCTAGAGATTTTTTTTTTTCATAAAACATGGTAATATTTTACCATTTTGGGAGGGAGGGGGAGATGAGGTGCTTCAGCCCGAAACCCTTCAATCCAAGTCATCTATCCACTCCCTCTCCAAAAGATCTCTTCTTTCTGAGCTTTACACCTCATTCCACAAATCTGCCTCATTTCAACACTCCTTTATTTTCCGTCCCACCAATTTTGGAATTCCATCCCATTTAAAAAACGTGATGCACCATCCTTATCCCTATTTATAACCCTTTTATTCCAATTCTTTCTTACTATTCATTTAGACGCTGGATATTTATTTATCATGTAACAAGGTTTCATTTTTCTTTATACATCATTTACATATATATTTTTCTTTTATGAGCAAAATATTTCCAGTCACTTTTTACTTAGAATTGTTTTTTATTTTTTTCTATTTATAAGATTTTATGTCTTGAGATGTATGTAATTTTTTACTAATATTGAACGCACTCTTCTATATGTATATTATTTTTTTTTTCTTTTGTTTTCTCCTATCAATCTACATCTTAGTATATAGATTATTAGACTTTTCTATTGTTAACAACACT